TGATTAGATGATAACAACTTTAACGTGGGAGTGCATTCGTTATACCGTCATTAAGTTCCTTTAAGATACGAAAGCATAGAGGAAATCGTAATCTGAGAATTTGCTAAACGCGAAATCGCTGAATTTAGTGCGTAATATCTAAGTTAACTAACGATAAAAGAGAGCTAACACACCAAATACGTAACGAAAACTTTTTCAGCTATAAATTGTCTTCTATTCGGTTCATCTACCTGCGCGTTACTATATATGTACGCCCTCGTTGGACGTTTTTTAACAACGCGTATCTCAATCTAATTCAATCAGCCTCGACATTTTTGCTCGAGTTTGCTTTATATACCCATACATACATATCTATATATATATATATATCAATTGGCAGATCATACATCGGAAACGTATATACCCAGGCTATTTTTTTTCCATTCCCCGTTTAAATGCGCGTATTCGTATCCTCTAGTACAGATTCGCTTTTAATGTGTCCTTTTGTAAATGTGAATTTATATGTATGTCCGTACGTGTTCGCGTGTACGCGTGTACATGTCAGGACATATAAAAACGACGCTTTCCAAGCGAAAATTAAAAATATTAAAAACTGTGCTCTCTTTCTGCCTATTTGTATCTCTCACATACCCACACATACCCACACATATGCACACAACCACTACTATTCACTCTCTCTCTCTTTAGTTGCTGGAAGAATGGCGTCGCCTACTTTTTTAGATTAAAATCAAACGATGCTTCGTATATTTGAATCTGTCCTCGATATTTTCTATAGAGAGACGTCCCTGAAATTGCCTAAAAAGAAAATGAATTGGAACAGTTTTATCGATGATATTTCGAAGATAGATTAGTGTACGTTACCGCTAAATCTTTTTTTTTTATCGCATCAAACATGAACAAAATAATTTATAAAAATTTTCCTCCCATCAAAAATCTGACTACAAAATTTTGAATTAAATATATTCGCGTAGGAGATTCATTTCGAACGTATTATGGATTTAATACAATGGCTAAAAATCATAAACGAATGAGTATGAATTTGAGTGGACGATGGAAAAGAAAAAAAAGAAAAATAGAAGAAATGAAAAAGGAGGGAAAGAGAAAGAAAGATAGAAAGAAAGATAGAAAGAAAGAAAGAAAGAGTAGGTGAAATCAGAGTGCAGAATCCATTAGCAGGAAGCAGAGGGTGTTTGAGGGGGGTACGTTTTACCATCGACGCACGATCTTTCATTCTGCAACGAAAACGGAACGTGTATGGTCTTTGAACGTGTGAGATAAAGCACATATATATCCACACCTATGTATGTCTATGTTATGTGGCTGCTTATGTGAGAAAGTTTGGGAAAGTGCTCGTAGTAGGGATTCTCTCAACCATTCTTCTTTCTACTCTACATCATTCGCCATCTAAATCTACCGAAATCTGATAGGACTCGAGCAATGCCGCGAAAGATAAAAAAAAAAAGAAATAAGGAAGAAAGAAAGGACATGACTAATATTAGATTTTTCCCCTTCGGAAAGGAAGTAGACACGTTTTATCGATGTTTGCTACAATTAGTCAATCTTGACGGATAATACACCTTTTGTTATTTAGTTTGATTATTCAAATTTGCGATAGCGCGTAACGAGAACAAGGATAATTTAACATCTATCGATTAACGACTAAATATTATAATTACGAATCGGTGTGGATTTGGAGTAAAAGAAATGGTACGATGAAAATAAAAAAAAAAATAATATAAAAATATCTGAAACGTCGTTGAAATCGAAATCGGAAAGCGATTACCAAGGAGAGTGCCGTTGTCCATCGGTCTTTTTTTTTTTTTTTTGCTCTTTCAAATGGTTAAATCTTTGTTAAAACTTAATCCGTAACGTTCACAGACTTTTTACGCGCTTGTATCTGTGTATACGTATATTAACAGAATGTTCGATACGAAACGACAAGATACTCGAACGCTTCTATATCTACCTTTTACTACTTTTCTCCATTCTCTTTTAGGAATTTCTCTTCCTTCTTCCTGTTTCCGCAAACCTAAGTGCTTTTCCTTTCAACGGCCAGTCGTTCTAAATCGCGACGCGAATACAAACGGGTTTCTTCTTAGTAAAAGAAAAAGTAAAAGGAAAAGAAGAAGAATAAGAAGAAAGAATTTGAGTGATTGATTTTAGTATATGCGACTACTACGACCAAATCATGGAAATACAATAGTTAAACAAATATGGATGCATATTTATTTATAACGAACCGTTCATTAGACGAAAAATTATCTAATTGATATATCACGAGATCATACTTTTTCTTATATATAATCGAAGTTTAAATTTATTGAAAAAACACATACAAAGTTGTCTTCAATTATATTGAGATAGAAATCGTAATTAAATTGAAAGATTAGAATTCAAATGAAAATCATACAATTTGATCTAAGTTTATTAAAGAAAGGAGAAAATAGGACATGGTTATAATTTTGATTCGTATAAAGGCAAAAATAATTTGAGTATCTATTTCGAGACGTCTAAATATCGTTTCTATCGCTAGAACTGTATGGATAACTTCATGAACGAAGAGTAGATCCGATAGCATATCGGATTGTTTTTGAAAGTAAAAGAAAGAATGAAAGAGAGAGCGAGAGAGAGAGAGAGAGAGAGAATGAGGGAGAAAGGAAGAGAGACGGAGTGCCATTTAACGAACCATTAAATCTTATCTCTCACTCAGCTGTTCGTAATGAAGAACGCGAAGTGGATTCTTCGTAAGGCGTTGCAATTATTCGTCTCTCTCGATAATACCACCGGGAATACGCGAGAATTCGATTTATTAGTACACATTTATCGCACTTACGGCACCCGCCGTTTCTCATTTAGTTACTTTATTTTAATTACGAGAGAAATACATGGATTTATAAAAGCCGAGCAAAGTTTCCAAAATTAATCATATTCATATTTATGATTATACCTGTTGTCGTTTCAATTTTCCATTTTTTACTTCATTTACGAACAATACGGTATATTCAAAAATACTCCATCAAATGAATATTTAATTTCGTACAGAAAAAAATCCGTAAAAGTATAAACTTTGATATTCGTTTTGGGTAACCTCGCTGCCGACCATTTTGGTGAACTCGTCGCTTGCACGCTACCGATTACAAATCAAAATGTTATTATCATTTACGAACATTAATCGAATAAAAATATTGTCGAAGGAGTTTTATCGATGACGATAGAAAAATAAAAAAAAAAAAATAAAAGGATAAAACGAAACGTGTCCTTTCTAAACGTTGAAATTATTCGCTATTGGTTTCTTGCCAAAGTGTGGCACAGATCCTCCAACGATACGATCTCTTCTCATTGGAACGTTTTGCTACGTAAAACACCCCCTCTCTCTTCCTCCGTTTGAATTATTTTCCTCCATCTTTGTTCATTTTTGTCCTATAGCTTTGAACCCTATTTTTTCATTTTTTTTTTTCGCGAGCCCCTAAAAAAATGGCGCGACGAGCTTGACCGACCGGTAAATATTAGACCCGAACGACGAGGTACACTTATTCTTCCCTGTCTCAACGCGTTCCTATGCTCATAAACAAAGTAATGACGTGCCAAACGTAAAACCCAATTTCAGGATTTTCGAACGAACCCCGTCCGTCCGTCTGTCCTCGTTGTTCTCTCTCTCTCTCTCTCTTTATTCCTGTCTTCCTACGCTTTCAACTGTACCAGTCCTATAGGTATATATGTGCATATATGTATGTATGTATGGTTACGCGAAAAGTGCTACGATAAAAGCGAACTAGGACTGTTGGGGGCGTGCATGTAAATCACGTTTGCTATAGTAGAGAGAAGGAGAGATAGAGAATGAGAAAGTACGAGGAGTGGAAAGGAAGATGGGAACAAGGGTGGGAGAGAGGATGGGAGAGAGGGTGGGAGAGAGGGTGGTAGATACTGGTAGGAAGGGCTTGAATTCGTTTCTCTTCCATCTCTTTTCCACGAGTATATATCGAGTTCTTCCTAAACAATGCTTCCGTTTCAACGATCCCGTTCTCCTTCTCCTTCTTCTTCTTCTTCTTTCGTTCTTTCTTTCCCTTTTTTGACTATTCCCTTCTTGGTTCGCGTCTTTATCGTACGAATGCCGAGGAACGTCCGGTACGACTTACGCTAGCAAATCGAGCAAAAGAAGAAACTCGGAACTCTTTTCTGAAATTTCTCTCATTTCCGTTCTTATTTTTAGTTTCCATTCTATTTTTCCTTTTTTTTTCTTTTTCTTTTTCTTTCTCTTTCTCTTTTTTACTCGCGTTCCATCTTTCTTTTGTCTTTCCCCTCTGTTCTGTTCGTTGCGTAATAAGAAAGAAAAATTGTCGGTAATGAAAAATGTATTTAATCATTTTTTGTTTTTCTTTTTTGTCAATTTACAAACCAAGAACGTTATTGTCAATTTTATGTTTCGCGTGGGACGAATTTTTGTCTTGGGGTTGGCTCTCTCTGATAAATAATATTAGAAAAATTGTTGGTAATAGTGAAATAGCATCTAAGTTTATTGCATCGTTCGAAAATTCTCATTTCAATGATATACGCGAGTTTAACTTTTCGCGGAACATCGTAGGAAGTTTAGAAAATCTGGTGTTTAGACAAGTGGCTCCCTTTTCACGAAAGGCATAGGCTAATAATACTTACATTACATATGCGTATCGATAATAACTTTGAAATAAAGAGGCGTTTTCGTATCGACGTTACTCGCACTTTTTTTTTTTCAACTAGTTAAAACGATAACGAATTCGGTTTGTATTTTCGCAGGTGTACACGTTACCTCGATCATATGATATCGAAGAGCAATGCTTTTTGTCGAATCACAGTATCTTCGGATTATACGATTTTTTTTTAAACTTTGACAATTTCAAATGCATTTAGTATGACAATAAATGAACGATTTGCACCACTTTCACAATAAACAATCTATATATAAAATGTTCATAATAATTATATATTTAATGACTATTTGATGATATTAATTTATGTTTCAGACTGTCCGATTGTCGAGGATGCAAGGATGGATCGAGCACTTGTGATAAGATTTAGACATAACTATGTCAGACCACGACGATACGCATACTTCAAAAATACAACTTTACGTTAGTGCAATTGTGACGCAATGAATAATTAACGGGAAGGGCGTGTCTATCTCTTCAACCCTTATCCTCTCTCACTCCTCTCCCTCATTTTTTCCTACCTAGTCCTTTTCATCCTCCTTCTCGTCCTATTCATTCTTCTCGAGAAGGAGGTTGGATACTTCAATATGAAAAACAAAAAATAAATAAATTAAATAAAACAATGAGAGAATAGGTAAGAAGAATATGAAAAATAAAGGACTAGTACTGGACAAGATCGATGAAATAACAACGACAAATTTAACAAAAGGATATTTACGATTTCTCGATCGAAATCAGTATCATCGTATTTTATTATCATCGATATTATATGTTCGATTATTTTTACGAAGAGATAGCCTTTTATTTCGGAAAACATTGTTCTTTATTTCAGCTCGATATTGCTTTGGATTTCTATATTATTTTTTGTTGTTGTCTTTTTCTAATTCTCCATTCTTGAAGCAACGCGTATTGCTGATAAAAATATAAGGAAATATATTTATAATAGATGTAATGCGTGGCACGGTGTCAATTAAGAAAAAAAAGGAATGTGAAGATGAAGAAAAAAAAATAATTAGGAAGCGCGACAATGTTTTCAATTCAACTACTATCTCCTCGCTTACTTCCCTCCCCCCCCTTATCACCTACCGATTTGCATCGATATTTCGCCGTATGTAAAAACGATCTCTGTCATTTGTTAAGGTAAACCTCATAGTGTTCTAAGTGACGCACGCTATAAATATATACATAAATAATTAAATATATATATATATATATATATAGATATATACGAATATAAATACAAATATAAATATATAAATAAATAAAAATGAACGCGAAAAATATACGATATGCATGTAATTAAACAAAATGATTACACGAGATTGAATGAATGTGTATGAGAGAAAATACGAGTGAGTGATAGTAAAACGGATGTTTACTTATAGAAAATTCGTTGTACGTTATAAATATTATATACACACGAAGATGATCATATACAGAGAACGCACATGGAAACCCATGCTTACGATATTATGGTAAAAGAGAGAGTGAGAGAAAGAAAGAGAGAAAATATTAAATATATTATATATATATATATATATATATATCATACGATCGCTAGTGTTAGGTGCAGCATATAAATATATATCGTTTATGTTCGAGCAAAAGTTACTAACAAACAATTTCTTAACTAACTTAATATTTAATAAACCAGTCAAGATAAAACTCACTATATGTTCTGTTACAGAGATAAAACATAGTAGAAAGCATTGGTTTTCTTATTTAGAAATTTGTTCTACGCGAGCAATAATTCAGATTAGCATAAATTTTAGTTAGTGATTTTTTGGCTGAGAACATTGACGATATATAAATACATAAATTAATCATATTCATATATGTGCGTAAGATGTGTACGATATAAGATAGAAAAGTATCTATATATATCTATAAATATATATAGATTAATTAGTATTTATAAGATTATATAGAAGAAAGAAAGAAAGAAAGAGGATAAGAATATTCGCATAATGCGAATAGAAAGAAAACCGTTTAAACAGCTATCAAACGGGTAGAACAACGAGAACACACAAAGAAGACCTTCGTCGTAGTCGTCGAGTGATTCCTCAATCAATTTTATCGATTTTCAAGAAGAAAAAAAAATAGAAAAATAAATTGAATAATAGCAAGTAGAGAAGAATGGTCATGCATATTTTGTGGTGCTTCATTTAGATAAATAAAAATACGAATATAAATGACTAAATTGCGTTGGTCTTAATAATATTTCTCGATAAATCATTGACGACAACAACGACGACGACGATGACAATGATTATTAGTAATAATGATAATGATAATGATGATAATAATTATAATAACAGTAATAATAATGATAATGTTGACTACTATTAAAAGTAAAGTACATTACTTTATGATATTCGAAAAGATAACAACAAAAAAAACATAGAATGATGGAAAGAAATTATATGCATGCATGCGTGTGTGTCTTTTTTCTCTTTCTCTCTCTCTCTCTCTCTCTCTCTCTCCCACCCTCCATCTTTCCCTTTCGTTTAAATAATTCTTCTTCAAAAAGAAAAAAAAAAGAGAAAAAAAAAACAGGGAAATTAGAATGCATGAATAAGAGAAAGAATGAGAGAGAAAATAGGAGAGTAAGCCTTCCTTTTCTATTAATCGGTAAGAGGGTTTAATATCATAAGTGTTCATATAAGATAATTATAAATAAATTATCATTAAGGGATGTTAAGCGGGTGAATGGGGAAGAAAAGGGAGGAGGAAGGGGGCTGCGAGTGATGTTATACGTCACACTTAACCGTGCTAGAACGATAACGATGCGAGAGCGAGATAACAGTCAAAAAATAAGGGGGTGGGGACGTTATCTTTTTATTATTATTATTATATCTTTTTTTCTATTCTATCAAAAATTAATTGATAAGATGTCGTGCCAAATAAAATTAAACGTGAATAAAATATCGCGTGTCGCGTTGTTGAACGATTTTAATTGTTTCATTCGATTAAACATCGATCGTGCTAAGCATAATCTCGCGTACATAAGATATTTCTTTATAATTAATTATTGAAATATTAGCAATCGTAAAGATTTTGTATTCTTTGCAATTAATTCATTGGATTACCAATAAAATATTACAAAAACAGGGGGGGGGACCGTGATGATACTTTGCAATTATTTTCTTGTTTTATTTCTTTTCTATTAAAAGAGTGAAAGAGAGAGAGAGAAAGAGAGAGAGAGAGAGAGAGAGAGAGCGAAATAATGTAGGAAAAGGTGGACGAAAGGTAAACGATATTAGACTAAATTGTAGCTCGTATATCCGTCCACTGTGTATAAGAAAAAAAAAAGAAAAAAAATGAAAAAGAAAGAAAAAGATACGGGATCGAATTCGCAAACGCATCGTCGTCGTATGTATCTCGATTGTAAGCTCATTAAATGATAATTATGATGGATCGTAATAAGGCTTAATGATTTAAAAAAAAAGGATATTGATTAGAGTTAGTTATTAGTTAGAAAAGGAAGGAGGAAACGAAAGATAATTTTCTTTTTTTTTTTTTTACAATTAAAAGAAAAGCGAAAACGATTCTCTTAGATAGAAATATTATTATTATTATTATTGTTATTATTATATTATTATGAGAATGCTTATTATATACTATATTATATTATTATTTTATTTGTGTAAGTATTTGATTATTTGATTATAATTATCATTACTTAGAAGATATATACGTAAAATAAATAAAAAAATTGTTCTTAATAATCGTCTTAAAGGGACGCGCGTGCATAAATACGTGCGCGTATGTGCGTATCGTATTATTCTAGAGCCGTGGCGTATTATAATAAGAATCGATGTGAAATTATCTAGATAAATTTAGTCGAAATAGATAGATGGAGAGAGTTTTTGTCGATCGATTATAAATCGAACTACGGCGAAAATCGTATTTGTGGGTACGGAAATGATTATCCTATTTAATAATTGTAGGATAAAAACGCTTAAAAATCGTAGCTAAACTATCTCTTCTGTACTAATGTAAGAGATCTGAAGAAAGAAAAAGAAAGATTATGTCTACGTTTTTCTTAGATTGAACTAAATCCAAAAGGAATATATGAAATATATATATACAATTATATATTTCAGATAAATATGACGAAGAAAAAGAAGAAGAAAACTCGACGATTTTCGTCGTTTCTCTTTAGTAATCGAAATAAATGAAATAAAATAATGATAAAATATATATATGTAAAGAAAAAGAGATAATGTGTAAAAGGACGCAAATTATCCTTGGCGAGTTCGATACGAGTTTCAAAATAGGACTGGATTCGAACGAGATGCTGACCTTCTTTCCATGAAATATATCGCAAATAAAAAGAAAAAAGAACAAACGAATTTTTTTCTCTCGAACACATCGAATTTATATGTATATGTACATGATTATTTCTGTGATCTTAAGGATACAAACTGCGCCATGTCACGATTTTAAAGAAGAAAGAAAAAACATAAAATTCGACTCGTGCATTAATCGATACTTGTACAATATATAAGATTTATGCATTAAAAAAAAATGTAGGATTACCGGCAAGAATCTGATATGTGACAAAATTTACTCTTTCATATGTTGACTTGATCCAAAGATTTTTATTCAATCATGATTTCATCGAAATAAAACCTAAAAAAAAAGATATTATTCGAGTTTTTATCGACCAGATATATTGTAATCTCTATTTATTAAATTTGTCGCATATATAATTTTACGCGTACGTATTCAAGAACATTTACATTTATATCGTAACAAATAAAATTGCGCTTGCTAATAAGAGGAATGAATATCTTAAAACTAAAAATACGTGTGACACGGGGTAAGTTTTTCCTTAACAAGAGCAGATTTAAACATGAAGAAAAAATGAGTTTGACTAAACGAATAAATATTCTTTTTTTTCTTTTTTCTTTTTCTCTTTTTCTCTTAGCTAGCGGAAGGTATCTTTTGTACATTGTTTCTCTTACTAATTAATATAATGAAACTTTAAAGAAACGTGCAAAAGAGAATCTCGCGAATCGTAATGAATCGTAACGAACGTCGACGACATTATACATATATATATATATATATATATAGGTTTATATACATACAAAAAAATACACACACACAATTGATTCCTTGTAATAAATAGTAGGTATAGATTGTTTTTTTTTCTTTTCATTATTTTAAGATGCAAAATCATGTGTACGTTAACGAATTAACGTAACAGGCGGATGATAAACAAAGAAATAAATAAAATAATGTTTTCAGGATGTATGAGATAATATACATGTAGTACACATACACACATATTTGATACTTGAGTTATATATTTAAACATAAATACTATTTAATATATGATTCAAGCTTACAATAAACGGGTTGTATAGAATTGTCTCTCTTTTAAACGATTTATTATAATCTACATGCATTTCCATTCCTATTCATTTAATATTTATGTACATATCCATGCAGAAAAGACTAAAAAAGAAAAAAAATTATATCGAAGATTCAACCAGTTAGCTGTGACAACCCTCTTTAAGGGTTATCTAAATTGTGTCGTCAAAATGAATGAAACGATGACGGTGTACTCGTAATAACACAAAATTGACAGATATAATTCAGAACAAAAATTATGAACATAATTTTAATATATATATAATATAATATAATATAATTTAATAATATAATATATCGATAAAAAAAGATACTATGCGTGCATTTTCTCTATAGTATATTTATGTACTAAATATATATATAGGTATATATATACCGTTGACGAATCATTGATCAACGTCAAAGGAAAGAATAGAGTGTATTGTCGTGCACCCGAAAAAGAAGGTAAGAGGTCTGTTGGGCTGGTAGTAGGACAAGAAAGATCGTCCCTTTGGCAAGCGTAAGTGCAGACATAATCTTTCCTCCGTATTTCTTTTTTTTTTCTTTTCTTCGTCTCTTTTTTCATCTCTTCAAAGATTAATCAGTTTCATATATTTCTCTACGTATGTATATTTAAACAAAACCATTTCTAGAATATTATATTAAGTTATAGAAAAGATAAATTTTTCGATTAGTCGTAACGTAGTTGTAATAAAGATATTGGAATCACTTGGAAAACTTTCTATCAAAGAAGTCGCCACATTGCTTTTACTCTATCAAGAAAATTCTAATTTCACCTTAATCAAAGTGTTCTCTTGGAAAAAGAAGCTTCGTAGATTTTCTTCAAA